CAATCAATCAATCAATCAATCAATCAATCAATCAATCAATAAATCAACCAATCAATCAATCAACCAAACCAATCAAGATCCTATCGAATAGGATCTTGATTGGTTTGGTTATATGGTGGATTGATTGATTGATTGATTTGATTGATTGATTGATTTGATTGATTGATTGATTGATTGATTGATTGATTAGATTGATTGATTGATCAATTTTTTATTTTTATATATATATATATTTTTTTTTCACACCTAAAAAACGCCCCCCCCAAATTTTGAGAGAAGGTTAATAACATGTATAATTTTCATCATACATATAACCTAGACCCAGTTCTTTTTCATTGTTCATGTTTTCTTCACTCTTATTCTAAAATTTCAGGACACATTTGAAAAATTGCGAATTTCTCATCACCCATGTTGTTGTTATCATAGTTGTCGGTTGCTTGCCTAAACAAATAGTCATAAGGGTTGCTTTCATCGTCTTCGGGGCGTTCATCACTTCGGGATGCTTCATGATTTTCGGATCGCTTCAACAAATGGCCATAAGGGGTGCTTTCATGGTCTTCAGAACGTTCACCACTTCGGGATGCTTCATGGTTTCGGGTCGCTTGAACAGATGGTCATAAAAGTTGTTTTCATAGTCTTCGGGACGTTCATCACTTCAGAATGCTTCATGATTTTCGATTAGCTTGAACAGATGACCATAAGGGTTGCTTTCATGGTCTTCAGGACGTTCATCATTTCGGGAGGCTTCATGATTTTCATGTAACTTGAAAAGATGGCGATAAGGGTTGCTTTCATGGTCTTCGAGACGTTCATCACTTCATGATGCTTCTTTGAACAGATGGTCATAAAAGTTGCTTTCATGGACTTCGGAACGTTCATCACTTCGGGATGATTCATGATTTTCGGGTAGCTTGAACAGATGACCATAAGGGTTTGCTTTCATGATCTTCGGGACGTTCATCACTTCGGGATGCTTCATGATTTTCGGGTAGTTAGAACAGATCGTCATAAGGGTTGTTTTCATGGTCTTCGGGATGTTCATCACTTCGGGTTGCTACATGATTTTCGAGTACCTTGAACAGATGACCGTAAAGGTTGTTTTCATGGTCTTTGTGACGTTCATCACTTCGGGATGCTTCATGATTTTCGGCTAGCGTGAACAGATTGTCAAAAATATTGTTTTCATGGTCTTCGAGACGTTCGTCACGGCGGGATGCTTCATGATTTTCGGGTAGGTTCGAAATGCCATAAGGGTTGCTACCTGAAAATCATGAAGCATCTCGAAGTGATGAACGTCCCGAAAACAAGCGTTGTCACGCGGGGATCCCCGGGGCCCAAGCCGGGGTAGGGGTTTCAACCCCGGAACCCCGCCACGGGGCTACCCGACCCCCGCCCCCGCAAAAACAACCCCGGCCCTGCCCCAACCCCGCCACCCCCGCTCCCA